ATTTTATTAATATTGAATTGAAAGTGATTAAATTTCTCTGACGAATATTGTTATTTATATGAAAATAATATTGAATTCATTGGAAAAATTTAATTGAAAATTTTTAAAACAATTGAATTTCTGCAAAGAATTTTATTAAAATTTTTAGTAATAATTAAATTCTTTTGAGAAATTTGATTATACAATTTTTAAAAATAATTGAATCTTATAGGTATTGTCGAGAGATTTCATTAAAATTAAATTAAAAATAATTGACTTCCTGTTAAGAATTTTTATTATTTATAAAAATAATTGAATTTCTACAAAGAATTTCCTTAAAATTTATAAAAATATAATTGAATTCCTGGGAAATCTTTTATTATTTATAAAAATAATTAAATTCTTGGACGAAAAATTTTCTTAAATTTAAAAAAAAAAATTTTTGCCGACATTTCTACGAAGAATTTTATTAAATTTTTAAAAAATAATTGAATTTTTTCGAGGATTTTAATAAAAATTGTTTAAAAAATACTTGAATTCTTTATCAAAGAATTTGTTTTAAAACTTTTAAATATAATTGAATTTCTCAGATAATTTTATTAAACTTTTAAAAAATTCTTTTTTTTTTTGAGAAATTTTGTTAAAATTTAAAACTGAATTGAAAATAATTAAATCCCTCTGCGAAGAATTTTATTATTTATGAAAATAATTGAATTGTTTTTGAATAATTAATAAGATTAGATGAGTAATAATTATCCTTGTATATATATATATGAGCAATGCTCATCATTCAAGCAGATCGAGTTACGGCTATTTTGAAATTTATTGTGGAAACCAACAGGTGCTCAATATTCAGCGATCGGCCCTTTCGATTTTAGTCATCATTTGTAACACGACGTACCACTTTATATTTAGTCACCCCAATATGCGTGACCCCTTTAAATGCTCATTTCCGTTTTTGGTTGCATCTTTTTTCCAAAGAGAACCTTCTTTATTTTAAATTGCAATTTTCGTATAGTTACTATTCGACAAATGCAATCTAATTTGAAAATAATTCTCTCTCAAAAATTCTCTTAATTAATATAAATTTGATTTAAAAAAATGAAATTATATTTTAGTACAAACTAAACTATATATAATTTCATTTTTTATAGAGAACAGCGATAAAATTCTCTAAAATAGCGAAACTCTTAACTGAATCATATTAACTGACTTTTTAATTTTCAATTAGTATAAAATTAACTTATTTTACTAATTTGAATTAGTGACTGATTAGTAAATTTTAATAAACAGTAATTTTTACTATAATTTATTAGTAAAAGTTACTAATAAATTTTAATAAACAATAATTTCTACTAATTTGTTAGTAAAATTTATGAAAAAAGTCAATCAAAAAGTCAGTTACTAATTCAAATTAGGAAACATTTTTACTAATTCAAATTTAGAGAGAAAAATTCGCAAATTTAGAGAAATTTTAGCTGTTCCGCAGACAAAGATTTTTTCCATATTTTCTTTTTAGAAGTTAACATTTGAATTCGTAATAAATACTTGCCTGTAATCTTCCTCGTTACTAACATAATCCGGTGGAATTAAATGCCAAGAGGAATCGTAGCAATCATCAAATGTGGAAGTCATTTTGCTATTTTCTTGCGAAAACGCACTTTTTCAATAAATTTGAACTTTTAGTTTTTTTTGTTCTAAACACTTTCACTCATTAATAAAAATCACTCTAATATGAAATTGTTATTTTACATGTTATTCAATATCGAAACTTTTCGCCCCATAAAACAGCAATAAAATAAGAAATTATAGAGTATTTTTAATTAAAATTTTTTTTAATATCAAAATTTTTAATTAAGAAAAAAATGTTTTTCGCAATCTACTTTCTGTGTAGATTTAAAAAATTATGTTAATATAATTTTTTCATATAAAAATTAATTTTTTTCCGTGTCTTGTAATTTTTTATTATATCACCCAGTTTTGTTAATTAACTATTTAATTATTTTTGTTAACATTATTTATTTTTGTTATTGATTATTTGTTTATTTTTTAATAATATTTGTGATTTAATATCAATTTACAAATAAAATTATCAAAAGAAAAAAAAAGGTCGGGTTTGCAGAATTTTTACATTTTGGATATTTTAATATATTTAGAGCAGAGTATTATTATTTTTATTTTTTGAGTATAATTTTTTAAAAATTGTCACATAAATCAGTAAATTTTCGAAACCGATCGTACTCATATGTTTTCACTTACTGAGAATAAGTTCAGGAAATATATTGATCAACTATACATTCTATCAAAAATGTGGCTACCGCCGATAGAGATAGGAACGTCGACAACGTTATCTATTTGATCTATTTGATATTGGTGACAATAGATTGATTGTATTCTGTGTCTAAACGAAAAAAAAATCTGATAAATTTAAATCTGGATTTTTCTGGTCAATTTCTTTTTCACAGATAAATTTTGTAATTCCACTTCGGTTTTGAATAATTTATATATATATGCGTGTATTGTTTTTTTGCACAATTTTTAATTATTGTTAATATTAGAGACGAGCTTTCAAAGCAAAATGAATTATAGGTTATGTTTGTGTTAGATTTATCTTAATTATTAGTTCCTTTTTAATTATATGTAAATTTGAAATTAGGATTTATTGAATATTTTGAATGCAGCAAAGATTGAGGATCAATAAATTAACAATAATTATTGACTCTGTTTCTGTATTTTTAATCAAAAATTATAAACATAACCTAAAATTTATTGCTTCCAAGGTTTATTCGAATGAAATACAATTTTTTCGAATTAAATTAAATTTATTCGAATTAAATACTATTTAATCAAATTAAATTCAATTTATTCGGATTAAATACAATTTATGCGAATTAAATTCAAATTTATTCAAATTAAATAAAATTTATTTGAAATACTAAAATAATGAGTTTAAATACAATTTATTCGAATTACATTCAATTTTTTTTTAATTAAATTCAATTCATTCGAATTAAATACAATTTATTCGAATTACATTAAATTTTTTTGAATTAAATAGAATTCATTCGAATTAAATAAAATTTATTTGAATTGAATTCATTTTTTTCGAATTAAATTCAATTTATTCGAATTAAATTCATTTTTTTCGAATTGATTTCAATTTATTTGAATTAAATTTAATTTCTTCTAATTAAATACATTTTCTTCGAATTAAATAAAGTTTATTCGAATTAAATTCATTTTTTTCGAATTAATTTCAATTTATTCGAATTAAATATACAATTTATTCGAATTACATTCAATTTTTTCGAATTAAATTCAATTTATTCGAATTAAATTTAATTTTTTTGAATTAATTTCAATTTATTCGAACTAAATTCGATTTCTTCTAATTAAATTCAATTTATCAGTTTAAATATACAATTTATTCGATTTAAATGCAATTTATTCGAATTAAATACAATTTATTCGAATTGAATACATTTTCTTCAAATTAAATTCAATTTCTTAGAATTAAATAAAATTTATTTGATTCAAGTAGACATTTATTTAAAAATATACAAAATAATTGGTTATTTGAATCGAATAAATTTTTTTACTCTGCGTTATATAGCTTGATTTAATCCATCAAATTATTTTCTAACTGCTATCGCTCAAAATGCTTAATTTTTTGAATTAAGTTTTTTTTTAATTTTATGATAAATGGGTCATATATAATGAAATCAATAAAAAATAAAGTCACGCATTTTAGGTGGCAATTGCCCTTCTCTGGTATCGATTTATTAGTGGCATTTGATAGGATATTTATCTCTGGTTCAAAGCAAAATTGTTATCTTTGAGTTGATAAGAAATTCTAAAAAAATTGCTTAGTCGTATATCTGTATTAATTTTCAAATAAAAATGACAGTTATTTCATATCGATCTCTGTTCCCATTTTCACTTTCCCCTTCCATTTTACAATAAAAGATATGGTCAATTTTTTAAGTCCCTTTTTTCTAATTAAGAAAAACGTTTATAAAACATTTAAAACATTTAAAAACATTTGAAACCATTTTTAACAAATTTTTAAAAATTTTTTTAAAAAATTTGTTAAAATAATTAAAAATTAAAATTAAAACAAAGAAATTTTTAACAATATTCTTTAAGAAAAACGTATTTTTTTAAAGACAATGTCATGTAATTTTTTAAAGTCAGTTTTGAAAAATAATCCCTATTTTTGTCCCCAATATATAAAAATTAATGAATTTATTAGGATTATTAATAACATAATATAATTTTTTATAGACATTTCATTTTTTTCAGTTTTGCAGTAATTTATTATTTTGTTCTTAATATTCAATTTTCTCTTCAGATAGTCTAAGATAATTTTATTATTAATAAGAAAAAAAATAAAAAGTTCAAATTTTATTTCTTTTCTGAATATTTAGTGAATTTTGAAAATTAGACTAGCAATTATTTTTAAATAATCAAATCGGTGCCTTTTTGAGGAGTTTTGAAATTCCCGCTCATTAAAGCAATACTCTAGTCACACTAGAAAACTTTTAGTTTCAAAATATTACAAACTATTTCATTCCTAAATTTGTCAACATAAGTAAAGTTTTTAAAAAGTATTTAAAAATGTTGAAGTACACTTTTTCGTTTATAACAAATGTTATTTTTTAGTTATTTTATTTATAGATTCTTTTTCTTTTCCTAAATATGACGTTTGTAGTGAAGGTAGTGAACAAAGTGAACGTAGTGAAGTACACAGCGATTGGTATCACTGAATATGAGTTATATTTGAACAAGGTACGTACATGGCACAATTTTTTCAACTAAATTTGAATTAATTACAACTATAGATGCTATAAACAAAAAAGAGTTATTGCTAAAGAGTTATAACAAAAAACAATTATTGCTTTATTTAAATAAATATGCAATAATTACAGTGATACAAAGTTTTTATTTTCATAAAATATTCTATCCTCTAATCAGATGATTCTTGACAGTTGGCAACACTGCATATTGACGTGTCAGTAAATTACAAATGGCGTCGACGAACGGCAACAACATCTCCTCGGTGGAGGAAAAAATCGAGAAATTAGAAATATCCGATGAAAATATTAAACAAGAAACAAATGAATCGAAAAGTACGAAAATTTTCGAACCCCATCTCTCGGGTTTCGAGATGCGTGAACTTTATAAAATCGCCTTTAACTTCTATAAAGGTAAGAAAAGTTTATCTTTCTGACATTTTAACTATACTCGTCATTTTGACAATATATACTTGATTACCTTGATTGTTTGTTTTCCTTACATTGATTAATTAAAAAGATATTTTCCCATCTCTTTGAAACAATAACTATACTGTCAAGTTTCATTATTTGATAAATATCTCGTTTTATTAATTAAAAGAGTAAGAGAGAGAGAGAGTCAATGTCAGTTTAAACAAATTAGTTTTTATGTTTATTCACTCTGACATTATTTATTCACCGCGACCGATATACCGGCAATCCATAAGTATTGACATTTAACACAGGCTTATTCTTGTAAATTATTCAGAACAAATAGTCTTGCCCTTGTGTAATGTAGCTCTAACTATATGAGAAATTTCTTCAATGTCGATGTACTGCATAAGGTTATAACCTCTAAGAAACGGAGTTAAAGTCGCTTCTCACTTATTTAAATTAAAGTCGTGATATTGATCAAATTAAATATTTAGAAGAAAGGAGAAATAATTATATCTGAACGTGTTTTTTAATTAAATCTCAAATTTGAAACGAAACTACTTTGTTTTGGTTTATCATATCTTGGAGCGATTACGCCTATCTACTTTTTCTTTAGAATAATTCAAGATTTTTTTACTTTATCCATTTAGGGTTGCCAAAAATCCGGGAAATCAGAGAAAAGTCAGTGATTTTTATTAAAAATAATGGAAAAAATTAAATTTCTAGAATTCTTAAGAAAATTGTTAATTTTTGTGATTTTTTTGTTTGTCTCATAAACTAGGAACTTACCACGAATTCTGATACAAAACCTTCAATTTTTTTTATTTCTGACAAGTATGAAGTTTTTAATATTATTTAATTATTTCCAAAGTTTTAATTTGATTATCTTCATAAATAACAAAATTCTTCAATGAAATTCAATTATTTTTATGAATTTTAATGAAATTCTTTGCAAAATTCAATTATTCTCAAAAGTTTTTCGCAATTCCATGATTTTCAATATTTACTATTTTCATATAATTTATCACAAAATTTAATTATTGAAAAAAAATTTGTTTATACAATTCTACGAAAACATTCAATTATTTTCATAATGAATAAAATTTCTTTTAGGAATTGAATTATTTTCATCGCAGAATTTAAAAATTTTTAATACAATTTTAAATAAATTCATAAAAAAATGCAATTATTCTTAACATTTTTTTTAAAACTCGACGAAAGAATTCAATTATTTAAGAAAATAATAAAATTTGTCGGAATAATTCAATTATTTTCGGATAAATAACTTTTAATTCGACGCAGAAAATCAATTATTTTCAAAAAGGTTTAAGTAATTCTGCAAAAGAATTCAATTATTTTAGTAAACAACAAAATTCTTACCATAAAATCAATTATTTTAAGGAATTTTATAATAAAATTCTTTTCAAAAATTCAATTATTTTGATAAATTTCAAAATTTATTATGAGAATTCAATTCTTTTGAAAAGTAATAAAATACTTTGCAGAAATTAAATTATTTTCAAAATTTTTGAGAATATTCGCCAAGAATTAAGTTATTTTTATAAATAGGTAGCAAAATTCTTCTCAAGAAGTCAATTATTATCAAAAATTGCAATAAAATTCTTGGCAAAATTTCAATTATTTAAACAAAATTTAATAAAATTCTTTACATGAATGCAATTATTTTCATTAAATTATTATTTAAATTCTTCGATTATTTTTAAAAATTTTAATAAAATTCTTCAAAAGTTTAAAATTATTTTCAAAAATTGTGATAAAATTCTTTAATTTAATAAATTTCTGTAAAATTTTAACTAAATCCCTTAAAAAAAATTAATTAATTTCAAAAGTTGTTAATAAAATTTTTCATAAAAATTCAGTTTTAAATGACATTCAATTAATTATTTTTGTGTTTAAAGAATTGAATTCTCGTATAGAATTTTCTAATAAAAATTTATATCAAAATGAATTTCTGTTAAAATTTTAGATAATAATTGAATATTAAAAGCATTATAACGTGAATTTATATAGAAATAATTGAATTTTGACAAGGTTTCAAATTAAAATCTTTAAAAATCTGAATTTTTTATAGTTTTAAATTAAAAATTCTATTTTAAAAAAATTAAAAATTTCTATTGTTTTAAGATAATTGAATATTTATAAACAAATAATTGAAATTTCTTTACATTCTATTAAGAATAATTAAATTCTGTAAAAAAATTTAAAATTTTTCGAAAATTATTCTTAAAAATTTTATTAAAATTCGTCGAAAAAATTCAATTATTTCTAAAGACTAAAAAAATTCTTCTCAAAAATTCAATTATTTTCATAAATTTCCATAAAAATTTAAAAAAAACAATTCAATTATCTTCAAAAATAATAAAATTCTTCGCAAAAATCCAATTATGTTTACAAATTTTTTTAAATTCTCAAAATTTCAATTATCTTTATAAATAATTAAATTGTTTTTCACAATTCAGTTATTTTCAAAAATTTTAATAAAATTCTACGCAAGCATTTAATTTCATAAATAATAACATTCTTTGGTAGGATGTAAAAAATTGAAAAATTTCTTTGTTTAATTCAATTATTCTCCAAATTTTGAATTAAAATTATTAAAAAAAAAAAAAAAAAATTCAAAAAATTTAAAGAAACTCGTCAAAAGAATTTAATTATTTATAGAAACTCTAATGAAAATTTTGGAAGCCATTTTGTAGGTTTATTTAGGTTCGAAATCAAATAAATTTAAAGATGAGAAAGAAAACCGGGAAAAATTACATGACAAAGTCGGGAATTTTGTTGAATGAAAATAGTAGACAACCTGGTGAGGGAAAAACAAAATTAAGTTTTTGTGGCAACCCTGAGCCATTATTTGTTTCATTTTTTTTTTAATTTGAATTAATTCATATTTAATTATTTAAATCACTTGTCAATAATTAATTTTTTGTTTGTACAGAGAAAGAAGGGAAAGCAGTCCACCTGTCATACGAGGATAAATTGAAACTCGTAGCCTTTATTCAGCAAGTGACTCACGGAAAATGCACTGCCGAGAATGCTCCTCCTCTAGGTGTCCTGGACGTGATAGGCAAGGACAGAAGATTGGCATGGCAAAATCTCGGGGATATATCAAAAGAAGAGGCAATGGAGGGTTTCGTTGTCCTGCTCGATAAACTCTGTCCCCTATTTAAAACCGTCGTCGAAGCATTAAAACGAGACATCGAGGAAAAGAAACGTTTACAAAAAGAAGAGGAGGTGAAAAAAGTTGAGGAGGAAAAAAGACTGAAAGAACTCGAAGAGGAGAAGCAGAAGGAGGAGGAGGAACGTTTAAAACAAGAAAATCAAAGGCGACAAATTCAGGAGGCTCTCAATCAACAAACCTACCATCAATTTCGTGCTTACGCTGAACAACAATATCCAGGTAATAAATAAAATGAATGAAATAAATAATAAATAAATTAAGGCAAATGAAACGAAAACATTCGTTTTATTTGCTTATATAAAACGAAAAAATTCTTGCCTTCAATAAAACGAAAACATTCGTTTTATTTGCCTTAATTTAAAAAGAATCTCTGACATTACAGATTATTTAACTAATAAATAAATAATAACAATTCTCCAGGTAATCCCGAGCAGCAAGGCGTTCTCATAAGACAATTACAGGAGCAGCATTATCACAAATATATGCAACAATTGCATCAGAATCAAATAATCATCGAGGATCATGAACCATTGAAGGGTGACAATATTGGGGAATTGAAAATTAAGGAAAGTGAGGATGCACCATTGCTGTTGAACGAGGAGGGAACGAATGATGAGGATGAGGAGGAAGACGAGCAACAAGATTGGCCTCCGATAGAATCGCCGCAAATGTGGACGAAGGAGGGAGTTGAGGATTTTAAGAGTATGATAAAAAAGGAAGCTGGCGATGCGGTTATTAAAGTTGGTCATGGGGAGACTGTTACGGTTCGGGTGCCAACCCATGAAGATGGTTCGTGTCTCTTCTGGGAATTTGCAACTGATGGATACGATATTGGTTTTGGAGTTTATTTCGAGTGGATCAAGCCGGACACCAATCAAGTTTCTGTGCATATTAGTGAATCTGAGGACGAAGATGATGAGGATGAGGATTATGATTCTAGAGAGGATTTGGAAAGTGGAGCTGTTGATGGAGAACCAAAACAGGAATCTAGTAAACCATTTGTATCGCGAATTAGTGTCATAGTGCCTGTAAGTTTCATTCTGTTGTTATTAATGAATTTTTTGTTTTTAGAAGCTTAATTTTTTAATTACAGAACGAAAAAAATTTTTGGCCTTTGGTTCTTGACGGACCAAAGGCCAAAAATCTTTCTCGTTCTGTTATTAATATTAATTGACATGGATAATTAATTATTTAACATAAATACAAAAAAAGACATTAAGACAAAAAAAAGATTGCTAACTTCTTCCTTTAAATAATAAAAACATAAAGTTTGAATTTTTTGAAAATTAAAAAAAAATGTTGAAAAATTGCTGTTTATATTCGCAGCGAAAAATATTTAATAAATGTAAATTTCTAGGTTTATAGGAGAGATTCTCAAGACGAAGTTTATGCTGGTAGTCATCAATATCCCGGACAGGTGAGTCTTGAATCAATATAAGATCCTTGATTTGTTTGCAAAGTTCACGACGTTTATAAACAACATTTTAAGAGAAAAAATATTTTTCCATTCAAATTTTTGTCTAAAAGAGATTTTTATAATATTGATTAACAATTTAAAGACGAAAAAATACTAAACAAAAATAGTATTTTCTGCTTAGTTTTCTTTTTTTTTTTAAATCGTAGAACATTAACGTTGATTGATTGATTGAACGCCCACGTTGATTTAAACGAAATTATGCGTAGTTGAAATTCACAACGTTTATTTAAAGAAGAATTAAACGCAATTTTCATTTTTTAAAAGTACGATAATAATTTTTTTTCTGGAAATTGTGGATCAAGAATATTTATAAAAATGATCTCGTACAAAAAAATTATAAAAATTTTCTCCGAAAGATTAAATTGTACTTGAACTTTTTTTCATCTTAAAAACTTCAAAAAAGAAATTATAAAGAGTTATAGTTTGCAATTTTCTAAAAAGTTATATTCAATTTATTATTATTATGCAAATTACAAAATTTTTTAGTTTCAAATAAGAATTTTTGAATAATTTCAGATTCAAACTTTAAAAGAACTCAATTATTAACTAATTTACTAATTAATTATTTTTGTTTATTAATATCAAAAATTTTAATAAAATTCTTCGCAAGAATTCAATTAATTTTATAAATAGTAACATTCTTCGTAGGAATTCAATTATTTTTATAAATAGAAATATTTTTCGCAGAAATACAATTTTATAAAATTCTTCTAGAGAATTTAATTATTATCGAATTTTTAACTGGAATGCAATTATTTTTAAAAATTTTAAGAAATTCTACGCAAAAATTCAATTATAATTCATAAACAGTAACATTTTTTGCAGTAATCCAACTTTTTAAACAAAATTTTTATAAAATTTCAATTCTAGAAAATAATTAAATTGCAAAAGAATTATAGTTTTAATTTAGTTAGAAATAATTAAATTTTTATTATTGAAATACCCAAATTTTATATTTTAGAAAATTTTATCACAATTTTAGAAAGTAATTGTTTTCTTTGAAGAAAAATGTTCAAGAATATAAAAAAATTATTTGCAAATAGTTGAGTTTTACAAAAACTTAAATTTGAACTTATTATTGTAATAAGGAAAAAAGTTTAAAATGTTTCTCTAAATCAGTGAACAGTCAGAGAAATTGAAAATAAAAATTTTGTGCCAATTCTGAATAAAATAAACGATTTTTATTTATTTTGTTTAAGTTTAATATATTATTTATATTCAACTTAAAAAGAAATAATTGAAAAGTACTGAAATCTCGTTCTCTTGCTTTGTTTAAATACCAGAGAAAATTAAAATTAAATTATGTAATTAAAATTAATTTTGTTTGAGAAAAAAATTATTATAAAAAATTCAATTTAAACAATCTTTGATATAAAAAATTCCTTTTTCAACTAAATATTGAATCCTTATTTTCCAGGGTGTATACCTTCTCAAGTTCGACAATTCCTATTCACTATGGCGAAGTAAAACACTTTATTACAGAGTTTACTACACAAGGCTCGGTGTGACGAAGAATTAAAAACTCTAGTGTCATAAATAAATTAAGAATCAAAGTTATTACATTTTAAATGTGTATTTTGTTGAACACTAGCTACCGACACGTCTGCGTCTGTCTCTAATTATAATGCTAATTTGGCAAAAAAAAAAATAAGCTCTGTGACCTATTTTCATGTAAAGCGAGGAATGTATTCCTCGAAAAAAAAATATATATTTATTGTGTAGATGCATAGGATACTTTTTTAATCCTGTATTGTGTAAAGATTATACGCCATGACCGAACAAAGTTGTTGAGTTTTGTCACATTTATAAAAATGAAAATTATCACGCGATTCTAAATTGACGAACATATATTATAATGATTATTAAATCATTCAAGTCTGGTGATACACATAATTTATGTTATCGTAAAAATATGTTTTTTTTTATTTGTGTACGGTGTAATGAACACTTGCACTTTCAAGTATTTATATAATTTTTTTTTAAATATTGAGTAATCGAAATGCATTTTTAAAGGAAGAAGAAGAAATTTTTCTTGAAAGGAATTTTTAATGAATAATCGAGAAATTATTTACAAGTTTTATGTAATTGTCTATATATAAAATTTCTGTCTGAAATAGAAAGCAAAGACAAACGAGTAAACTATTTGTTACTTGAAGCAAAATTATTGCAAAAAAGTAAATTTCGTTCAATACGTTCGAAAAATTCCAAATATAAGAAATGATTTTTGCTATTTTTCAGTAGCGAGTTATTCGGCATAATAAATTCTTCCTTTAAGAGAAAATTTATTTAGCCAGTATATGTGTATTGTTTTATATGTGTCTTTTTATCGTGAAGAATAATATTCCCGAGAGTAGAATTTTTATTTCCTACATTTCTATTTAAAAAAAATATTAAAATAATAAAATTTAAAAAATATTTATATTTTTTTCTAGGAGTAAAAATTCTAAGCTCGCGAATAAATAGGATTTTATTTATTTGCGTTATAGTGATTAATTAAATTCTGTATACCATGCATTTGTTTATCGAAATAGAATATTATATTTCATATATTGTGTGTTTTTGAGAAATATATTGAGCAGAAAGAAAAAAACACTTGCAATTGTTTATTTTTTTCAGCGGCAAAAATAATGACAACTTTTTTTTTTGTACTTCAACATTTATTTTTTATACGTCAACCATGAATTTTTTTTTCACGCTTTTATGTTGTTACAATCCGGACACACGAATTGTTTGTAAATACTTAATATTAATAGTAATTATCACTATACTGTAAAATTTCGCTTTAGCGTGTATAATGTACAAGTGGACGCGCTGATTTCGAGCAAGTGCATATATAAATTTCTGCAACTAATGCATCGTTTTTTTTTGTTTAATTTTTTACATAAAAACTTGCACTATTACTTTAGTTACAAGAGCACTTTCTTTGAGACGGCATAAGTTGCATATTGTTTATCGAGTATACAATATATATTTGTTATATTTAGGTAAAATTAGACTCTTTGGGCCAAAGACTTCAAGAAATTTTTATTTTTTTTGGTTCCTCACGAGGAAACTTTTTGTTCTTTTATGAGAACGATAAGTGCAGTGAAAAATATCGATCTGCGTGCAGCGTATTTTTTTTCGACTAAAAAATAATCTACGAAACTTGAGTTTTTTTTTGAGTTTTCGGGCCCATAAAAGTTTTCCAACTATCGTTACAGAGTCGCATAAGCTTAAATTGACAGCAGTAATGTGCCATATAACGGTTTAGTCGAAAATACACGTATGAGCTTTAAAATACAAATACAACAAATATACTTGATATTTTAATTTAAATATATAGGTTTAGGTATTTACAATATTTATAGTTATAAATCCCATACTTTGTGTTATTTTCGTATAATTATATACTCCATATAAGCTTTAGCTTTCCATTTAAATTAATCAATTATTATTTTTGAGCTATTTTGAACGCAATCACTTATATCGACCACTTCGCTTTTTTATACTTTCATTAGATTTTTTTTTCTACGATTTTCTTTTTTGCACAAGAAATAAAGCGATTGGATATTTTCGTTTTTAATTTATTTTCACGAAAAAAATATTACAGACAGCAATAATTTTTTTACTAACTAAATTAATTAATAAATTACTAACTAAATCACTTTTTTTAACAAAGGGAACTTTTTATTTATTATAATTATTTAATTGATATGATAAATTTAATGATAAATTAATTAAAGGAGAAAAACGTTTAAATGAACGAAATTTATTTCTTTTTCAATTTCCAATCTTGTATCATTAGCGTTTCTGTTTTGAAATAATTTAGCTAAAAATTGTTCAATTCACATTTTTTATTTTTATTGCAGTTCGTAATTTTTGAAATTATTTACGTTCAAAAAATATTTCGTTCATTTGAAGATTCAGAATTTTTGGAACATTTTTCTTTTTATTAAGTTAGATTAGAAAATTTGATTTTTTATCAAACAAAAAGTTATGAAATTAAAAATTGGTGACGTAATGAAAAGGGAAATAAAATTTTTGCATTAAAAATAAATTTTGAGTTCCATTTAGAATTTGCAATAATTAATTCAAGAAAAATAAGTTTTCGAATAAAAGAAAATGAAAAAAATATTGATACAAATAAAATTTTTTTTTTTTAGTAATTTTATTAGATGGATTTTTTTATAATGAATTTCGGAATGAATTCTTTTTTATAATGGATTTTGTAATGAATCTCTTTTAGAATGAATTTGGTAATGAATTATTTTATAATTTATAATGATTTTGGTAATTAATTTTTTTTATAATTTATAATAAATTCGGTAATGAATTTTTTTAATTTATAATGAATTTGTTAATGAATTTTCTAAGAGTATGTTAACAGAAAAATTATCTACCAGCAAATCTGTAATATTTTTTTCGTAATAGTCACAGATAGTTCCTTTTCTTTTTGATTAAAGTTTTCGTTCGAAAAAAAAATATATATATATATACTTTATTAAAGATTTAAAAATATTTTTTTCATAATTAAAATATATGCGTCTTCTGAGGAATTTGATCTAAAAATGAAAATTTGAAAAAAGTATAAATATAGAGAAGAATTTGAAAATTTAATTTTAGTATTTTCTTTTTTTCTAAAATAAAATAATAAATTAATGAACTAGAACTATCTGTGCGGAATTGAGCTGAGCTTAATATCTAGAGTGAACATTTTCGAAAAATCGTTTTTTGGCATCTTGTTTTGAGTACCTTATTAGAAAATTTATTACAGCCGGACGGAAAATAATACTGTTTTAATTTTTTTTCTTCTAAATCTAGCACAATTGTTTAGTGGCACAATAATTTCGTAATTTGTTTTCCTTTAATCATTACAGGGGCATTTTTTTATGCAAAAATCTTCTTACTTGAAAATATCAACTTAAAAGTTATTTTAAAGTTATTAAAATAACTAAATAAATAATTAATAATAAATAATTAAATTATTTATTTAGTTATTTAATTTTTTTATTCTTTCTTCTATAATAATTTTATTACAGTTGAAATATTCGATTTTTGTTAAAACCTTTTTTTTTATTATTTTGTAATAAAGTAAATATATTTATTTAAGAGGATAAATAAATTTATTTAACGCAGACATTTTTGATTGTATCAACAAAATATTTTTAACATTCCATAAATTTCTTTTATTTTTTTCTAAATTTGTTGTATATATTTTCAATGATCGTAAAATAAAATGGGTCAGAAAATATTTTGACCGATTTGAATTCTTATTTTTTCTTTTATTACAAAATAATATTATTTCAGTTGTTTGTAAATATTTTCAAGTTAAAAAGTTTTTTAATAATTATAATCTTATCAATTTTCGAAAATATTTGCCCCCGTTTTAAATGATTGTCCGACGTTATTTTATTTCTACAAAAATAGAGTTGTTTTATGAAATTATCAAATATTATCTAATGTTTCCAATTTTTAAAATATATTCACTAAGATCTAAAAAAGAAGAATTGAAAGGAAAATTATTCGAAAAAAAATACTTTGTATCAACTCTAGTTTTGAAAGTAATAAATATTTTTCTATTGCAAATTTTTTAATCTATGCGAAAAATTAACAAAAATTTTTAATACTTCAAGTCGATTTGGCGAGCAATTTTTTTTTGACTGCAGTACAAACAGTTTACTCGACAATTTGAATTTTAGCTATTTTATTTATATACTATGCGCAGGCCTCGGATAATTCGATTTTTTCGACTATTTTCAGAAAAGACGATTTCTTCGATTTTCAAACAATGCTACTTTTTTATTTTTTTTTTTTTTTTTGCAAAGTCAAGTATTTTTATTTAATAATAAATAATAAAATTTTTGAATAATTTGGTTTAAAAATCAGAGAAAGGTCAAGAAAATAAAAATTGAATTTGTGTAAAAAAAATAAAGTGAAAATAAACGAATTTTTCGATTATTTTCGAATCTTTTTTTTGCGCCTTTAAGTCGATCCGAGGCCTGTTTTTATGCAATTTTCACTAATCAATTAGCTTTCACACCGACTTATTTAATTACTAGCAGGTACGGAAAGCCGAATTTAATCAAAACATCCATGTCATCTATCAATCGATTTTTTTTATCAAACACCTAATTTTTTTTTATTATTTATTATATACGAAGGACTTAGAAATATTTTTGTATTGTAATAATTATACTCCAACATTGAGAGAAGTTACACGCGATGAACACTCCGGTAGAAAAGGTTTCAGGTGGAGAAACATTACGAAAACAATATATTGACACTTTTTGTCTCGCTATCTAATTTGACATTTAATTGCATTTCCTAGTTATTTTTAAAGTGCGCTTGAAAAATTATTATTCTTTCAATTTAACCACATCATCGAAAAATATATGAACTAACGTTTTGACAATATTTCAGAAAATTTTGATTTTCATTATTCGTCTACAACTATTTTTTACATATATTATGTATATAATGTATATTTGTGACGCATTTCCAAGAAAGGTATATCTAAGAAGCAAACGAGTAATAGACTATTTTTGTGTTATTTTTTATTTTAATTTAAAGCTTCTGTTTAATTATGTAGAACTAAAATGAGTTTTTGCTGAAAATTTTGAATCTATCAAAACCTGGAAGCAATAAATTTTAATTATAATGTATTCTCTTTGTGTATTTTTTTGCATAAAAAATTATAAACATAACTTAAAATTGTTCGCTTTTTAGATATCTTTCTTGAAAGCGCGGCACATTTAAGGGGAGACTTTGACCACATTCTTAACTATATCAAGAAAATGATTTAAATCATCCATAAAATTATTTTTATAGTAATTTTTAAAGAGGAAATCAATGGTCAGAAAATATTCTGATCCTTTTTGAATTTTTATTTTTCTTAATTAAGAAAAAATTGATAGATTTTAAAATCCATCCGTAATTTTGTAGAAAATATGTTTCTGTACTCAGAAAAAGATTACCGATTAAAAAAAAAGGATTTTTAATATTTTTTAAGCATTTTTTTTAAAAACATTGTTTTCAGGTTGAAAATGCTAAAAAATCATTGTTATTCAATTTTTCTATATGAAAATTCACTTGATTATTTTTCTAACTAATTTCAAATCATAATTTTTTTAAATATAAACTATAAAATACAAAAAAAATTATGATAAATAATGTAATTTTTATTTTTTTAAATAAAAAGTATAAAATACCAGAAAAATTATAATAAAATTATGTTTTGAAATTAGTTAGAAAAATAAACAAGTGAATTTCCATATAAAAAAATTGAATAACAATGGTTTTTTTAGCATTTTCAACTTGAAAACAATGTTTTTTTTATTATTTTAAAAAATAATTGAATCTTTATACAGAATTCTATAAATATTTTTTCTAAATAATTGAAATCTTTTGGAATGATTAAAAAAGTATAGACATTGAAAATCATTCAATTAAGAAAAATTTTTGAAAATTGAAACTTTGCCACGAATTTTATTAAAATTCCTGAAAATAATTGAATTTTTGGGTACAATTTTAATTACATTTTTAAAAATAATTACAATTTTTTAGGAATTTGATTAAAAGGCTTAAAAAAATAATTGAAATTCTGCGATTAGTTTTATTATATTTATGAAAATAATTGAATTCCTAACAAAAATTTTATTATTTATGGAAATAATTGTATTTCTGTAAAAAATATTATTTATAAAAATAATGCAATTTTTGCTAAGAAATGAAAAAAATTTTTATAAATAATTGATTTCTTATGAAATTATTATTATTTATGTAAATAATTAAACGTTTGCCTAGAATTATGTTAAAATTTTTGAAAATAATTTAATAATAATAATAATTTAATTTCTGAGAAGAATTTTATTATTTACGAAAATAATTGAATGTTTGGAAATAATTTTATTATTTATAAAGATAATTTAAGTTTTGACGAAATTTTAAAAAAAAATTTGTAAATAATTGAATTTCTGCAAATAATTTTATTACTTTTGAAGATAATTTAATTTTTGAGAAGAACTTTATTATTTACGAATATAATTGAATTTCTAAGAAGAATTTTATTATTTACGAAAATAATTGAGTTTTTGAGAAGAATTTTATTATTTAAGAAAATAATTGAATTTTGGGAGAAGAATTTTATTATTGATAAAGATAATTGAAATATTGACAAGAATTTTTTTAAATTTTCGAACATAATTTAATTTTTGCGAAGAATTTTATTATACTTTTGAAAATAATTAAATTCTTGTGAAGAATATTGTTATTTATAAAAATAATTGATTTTTGCAATGAATTTCATTAAAATTCCTGAAAACAATTGAATTTTGCAATGAGTTTTATTAAAATTTCTGAAAATAATTGAATTTTTGGAAAGAATTTTAATAAAATTTTTTAAAATAATTTCATTTTTCGATGAATTAGATTAAAATTGTTGAAAAAAATAATTGAAATTCTGCGATGAGTTTTATTATTTATGAAAGTAATTGGATTTTTTTAAAGAATTTTTTTATTTTTATAATAATTAAATTCTTGTATTAGTTTTATTACTTATGAGAATATGTGAATTGAGTAAAATTTTTTAAAATAATTGGAAAACAATGTTTTTTTAGAAAAATGCTTCAAAAATAATAAAAATCCTTTCTTTTCATTCGTCAACTTTTTTTCTGAATATCTACAGAAATATATTTTCTACAAAATTACGGATGGATTTTAAAGTCTATCTATTTTTAAGAAAAATAAATATATTCAAAAAGTATAAATAAATATCCATTGATTTCCTTTTTAAAAATTACTGTAAAAATAATTTTATGAAAGATTTAAATCATTTTCTTATGATATAGTTAAAAATACAGTCGAAGTCTCCCCTTAAGTATCTGTTTAGTAGAGGCGGACAATTTCCGTAATGTTTTCCGTCAATGAAATTCGTCACTTGTCTCTAAATCACAATATTATATATTCTCTATATAAATATTATTTTTATAGAGAAGTCTCCATATTGAGATTCGTGCGTTTGCCATCGGCTCCTTTATTAAAAGAATAATCTATTCGGTCGGTGAAGCTTTTGCGTAGAATTGGATCGTGCTTTCTTTGGTCAGACCTGACTCTCCTCTCGGTGAGAGAGCGAGTCAATCGGGGTCTCTCTAAATTGGAATTTGAACTGGATTGGTCTTCAGAGCCAAACTGCTTTGGACTGGTTTGGTCCTCTTGTGCCAATGACGGGCAATTATTTATCGAAAGAAGATCATCGTTGTTCTGCATATTTATTCTAGAGTCGGGAGGGATCGTCACGCCGTCGTACGATGGAAGGGAAATGGCAGGATCGTGTCTCTCGGAGAAAATCTGATCGGGTCCAGTGCTCATGGTTCGATGCTGCCCAAACTGAGTGCTCCTTGAACTCGAGGCTGAAACTTCTCTCTCGGTCAGCGATCTCTTGAACCTCGACAAGACGGGTGGCAAACTGGAAAATTCTTCATCATTCGATGGGTTTTGGAAGCTTTTCCCCTGAAACGGATCCTTTGGACAGATTTCTTGTATTGGACTCACAAATATCAGCGTTCTGGAAAAGTGTTCGAATTTTTTAGTATAATTTTATTTCAAACCGTTCAAACTAGAAAATTCTCTAAACATGCGAATTAGAAGAAATTAATGATGAAATGAACAAAAGTCCAAAAAATGAGTTAGTAATAATTTTACTAACAATTTTTACTATTACCATGGTATAGTATTTTAAATTTCATATTATTTTGTAAAAGTATTTTAAAATTTGGGGAAAAAGTACAACAAACCGAAATTTTGACATAGAAAATACTAAACAGTGAAAGAAATAATATGAAATTTAGTAAAGTTATATTAAAATTTAACTAAAATTCTTATATTTCATATAATTATACTAAATTTCACATAAGTTTTTTTAAAGTTTAGTATTTTCTATACAAAAATTTCGCTCTGTCGCATTTTTTCCCCAAATTGTGAAACGTTTTTACAAAATTTAATATAATTTTCTCTCCGTATAAAAATTTTACTATTTGTTACGTAGAATTCTTCTAAATCAGATTTAAAGAGAAATATTATCGCGTTTAAAAAAATTCAAAAAAAGTCTTGAAATTTTATAAGAAGTACAGAAAAAAGTACTAAATTTCTAGAATTGATAAAAAATTCTGGTCTTTGGTGTCCATTATGATTTGCTTAAAAAGAAATTTTTTTAACATTCCCAAGCTTAAATTAATATAACGATCACAAAATTATAGATTCTCTCACCTTTTCTTGCGTGAATAAAAATAATTGAAATACATTTTTGAATAAATAATAATTCACATGATGCAAGTTTCAATTTATCAAAATTGTTCATTGATTTAAAATTAGCATCGAAGTTCAAATTTCAATGAATTTTAATTTAAATTACTTACTTGAAGTATTTTTTGATTAAAAGTGTAATTGATCAAAATTTAAATTCGTTCTAATTCTGATTTAATCTTCACTTTTAATTACATCAAAATTCTCGGCATAATTCACTTTAGCTAAAGTTTAATCTATTCAAAATTTCAATATATTGAATATATTTTAATTCAATTGCAAATGATACAACTTTTATTTAATAGCTAATTTTTATTCTTAAAATTATTATAATTATTGATAAGAAAGTTTCTATTATTTTCGGAAAAAAATTATAAAAATTATATTTTAAATAATTGAATTCCTGTGAAATTTTTATTATTTATAAAAATAATGAAATTCCTAATAAAAAATTTTATTATTTACGGAAATAATTAAATATCTGTAAAAATAATTGAATTTTTTAAAATTAAAAATTCCATTGAATTTTTAAGTTATTGCTAAGAATTTTTATAGAAAATTTTTAAATGATCGAATTTTTATCAAATTTTTATTATTTATGAAAATAATTAAATGTTTGCTCAGAATTTTATTAAAATTTTTGAAAATAATTGAATTTTGGGAGAATAATTTTTGTTATTTATAAAGATAATTGAAATTGTGACAAGAATATTTAAAAATTTATAAATATAACTGAATTTCTGCAAAGAATTTTATTATTTTTAAAGAAAATTTAATTTCTGAGAAGAATTTTATTAAAATTTTTGAAAATAATTGAATTTCATTGAAAAATTTAATTATTTACAAAAATAATTGAATTTCTTAGCAGAATTTTATTATTTACAAAAATAATTGGATTTCCGAAAAGAATTTTATTATTTTCAGAAATAATTGAATTTTTGAGAACAATTTTATTATTAATAAAGATAATTGAAATTTTGACAAGAATATTTTTAAATTTTTGAACATAATTGAATTTCTGCAAAGAATTTTATTGTTTTTGAAGAAAATTTAATTTCTGAGAAGAATTTTATTAAAATTTTTGAAAATAATTGAATTTCATTGAAAAATTTAATTATTTACAAAAATAATTGAATTTCTTAGCAGAATTTTATTATTTACAAAGAAAAGAATTTTATTATTTTCAGAAATAATTGAATTTTTGAGAACAATTTTATTATTAATAAAGATAATTGAAATTTTGACAAGAATATTTTTAAATTTTTGAACATAATTGAATTTCTGCAAAGAATTTTATTGTTTTTGAAGAAAATTTAATTTTTGAGAAGAATTTTATTAAAATTTTTGAAAATAATTGAATTTCATTGAAAAATTTAATTATTTACAAAAATAATTGAATTTCTTAGCAGAATTTTATTATTTACAAAAATAATTGGATTTCCGAAAAGAATTTTATTATTTTCAGAAATAATTGAATTTTTGAGAACAATTTTATTATTAATAAAGATAATTGAAATTTTGACAAGAATATTTTTAAATTTTTGAACATAATTGAATTTCTGCAAAGAATTTTATTGTTTTTGAAGAAAATTTAATTTTTGAGAAGAATTTTATTAAAATTTTTGAAAATAATTGAATTTCATTGAAAAATTTAATTATTTACAAAAATAATTGAATTTCTTAGCAGAATTTTATTATTTACAAAAATAATTGGATTTCCGAAAAGAATTTTATTATTTTCCGAAATAATTGAATTTTTGAGAACAATTTTATTATTAATAAAGATAATTGAAATTTTGACAAGAATATTTTTAAATTTTTGAACATAATTGAATTTCTGCAAAGAATTTTATTGTTTTTGAAGAAAATTTAATTTTTGAGAAGAATTTTATTAAAATTTTTTAAAATAATTGAATTTCAGTGGAATATTTAATTATTTACGAAAATAATTGAATTTCTTAGCAGAATTTTATTATTTACAAAAATAATTGAATTTCTTAGCAGAATTTTATTATTTACAAAAATAATTGGATTTCCGAAAAGAATTTTATTATTTTCAGAAATAATTGAATTTTTGAGAACAATTTTGTTATTAATAAAGATAATTGAAATTTTGACAAGAATATTTTTAAATTTTTGAACATAATTGAATTTCTGCAAAGAATTTTATTGTTTTTGAAGAAAATTTAATTTTTGAGAAGAATTTTATTAAAATTTTTGAAAATAATTGAATTTCAGTGGAATATTTGATTATTTATGAAAATAATTGAGTTTCTGAGAAGAATTTTTTTATTTACGAAAATAATTGAATTTCTGAAAAGAATTTTATTACTGATAAAGATAATTGAAACTTTGACAAGAATATTTCAAAATTTTTTAACATAATTGAATTTCTGCGAAGAATTTTATTATTTTTGAAGAAATTTTAATTTTTTGAGTAGAATTTTTTTAAAATGTTTAAAAATAATTGAATTTCTTAGAAGAATTTTAATATTGATAAATATAATTGAAATTTTGTCAAGAATTTTTGTTAAATTTTATGACATAATTGAATTTTTGAGATGAATATTATTACTTTTGATAGTAATTGAATTTTCGGAATTATTTGTAACTTCTCCAAAATTTAATTTTTTTCTGTTGTTTTTAACTAAAATTCTTCTATAAATTCATTATTTTTAATAATTAATTAAATGTAACAAATTTTAGAAGAATTCGGATTAATAACATTTTTTGAAAATTTAAGTTGTTTAATAAAATTTTAATTAAATTCATTAAAAATTAAAATTTTCTAAAATTTTAAATTAAAATTTTTTGAAGTTCCTCTATTTATGAAAATTGTAAACACAATTCTTTTGAAACTCAATTGATTTTGAAATATTTAAGTCAAATCATTTATTAAATAATTTATAAGTATAATAACTTCATGATTTTTCTTCAAGAATTAAGTTTTTTAAAAAGAAATTATTGTCAGGAATAGAAAAAATTGAAGGTTTTGAAGTAAAATTCGTGGTGATTTCAAAGTTTCTCAGGCAAAGAAAAAAGACACCAAAATTCATAAATTTCTTATGAATTCTAAAGATTTAATTTTTTCCTGTACTTTTAATAAAAATTCTTGACTTTTCCCTGATTTTCCTGACCAATTCTACTTTCCCTGAATTTTCTGACTTTCTATCTTCTTACCTATGGCAACCCTGTTAATTAAGAATTTTTTCTAAATTTTCTAATAGAACAAATTAAGTCTCACCTGGAATTCTCCGATTTCAGACCACCCCTGTTAAAATCTTCAGACTCTATCCTAGAGGATTCTCTATCGACGCCATTAACATTATCATTATCACAGTTACTACATCGACATTGTGCCGAAACACCGGGAAGAAAATTTTCTCTATTTCTACAAAATTCAATTTCACCAACAGCCTTTTCTGGATCGAGACTCTGAAATTCCTCTGGAGTCACCAACGTGTATCGTCTTTGTTTATTCTTTAAAATCGACTTGAGACAAAAATAAGTTTTCGACGTGGGAATTCTTTTGACAACTTCAGATATTGGATTCACCGTCACTCGACTTCTACTGTTATTGGGAGGGAATTTTTTTGGAATCGCCCCTCTCGCGACCATTTCTTCTCGCGTCAGAGTGCTGGGACTTGGATCCTCTAAAATCAAGGCTTCTGCTCTCTCAGACCTTGCTCTCTTCTTCAATACATCCGATTGCTCTTCATTCTCTAAAATATTCTCTAAACTCCGACCATTCGTCCAAAGGAATTTCATCGTTGGATCGGCTAATTCCGAATTGGTTCGTAGATCCGGTTCCGAAATATCCCTGGAGAAATTTCTCGTTGTATTATTTTCACAGGCTGCGTTCAATAATTCTATCGAATTGTCTCTAGAATTTGTTCGCGATAATTTTGATAAAAATCGACTACAACCCACATCACTGAAATCGCGATTTAGTCTGTTTGGATCGCTCGCCGAACTCCTCAAGCAAGCGCTGCAAATTTTCAATTGTGTCGTGTAATTACAATCGCTGAGTCGATTTCTGTTGGGATAAATCGATGTCGTTGGGGTTTTGTAATTCTCTGGATTCTGTGGTGATTCAGTCAAGTGTTGTGGGGTTTTATTTTCTAATTCCGTTTCGTCTGGGGGATTGTTTTCCGTTTTGGAAGAAGTGGAAGCTTCGGGTTGTGATTCTTCGGGTTTGTGTAGTTCGCCAACGTGACATGGACACTCACAGGTTTCGGAGGGTTGTATTTGATGATATTGGAGATTGGTGTCGGTGTCGGTGTCGGTTTGCTGAGAACTGTGTTGTGCTCGCTCGTAGAGAAGAGCCTCGGAATAACTTGGAACCATATCCGACTCGAATGCCTCGATGAGATTTTCTCTTTCTGACGATTCTTCGGCTCTCGATGACACTACAGGCTCCATTAGAAGTGCTTCGCTGTAACTCGGTGCTAACATGTAGGATCCTGGAGCGCTTATTTGACTGGAAGACGCGTGTATTTGTGAGGTCATTGGTGTGTCGTAGTTTACTCCGAAAAGTTTTGTTATCTGAAAGCAAAAAGATAATTTTCATTAGATTTTATTTTTATAATTTTACTCCCTTATTGGAAGCTTAATTTTATACTTTATAACAGTTCCCACAAAGCACCGAAACTTTCCTAAAGAATGAAATTAATTTGACTGCCACCTTCGGAATCTTGAATTTATGAATCTTAATCTTTTTTTCAGTCAATCTTAATTTTAAAAATTACGCCAAATTTTATGAAATTTGACGTAATTCTTAAGGTCATGTAATTCAGTGTGACGTATATTCCTATAGTTAAACTTATGGAGCACGTGACCACTGAATAACATGTCCATAAGATTAAGATTGACTGAATTGATTGACTAAATTAATTAATAATTGACTAAAATTAACTTGACTGACACCTTCGGAATTTTTAATTGCGAAGATTCTGCCAATAATTGCAGAGATTCAATTATTTTCAAAAGTAAAAAAAATAAAATTCTTCGCAGAAATTCAATAATGTTTAACATTTTTAAAAAATTTTCGTCAGAAATTCAATTATTTTCGTAAATAATAAAATTCTTCTCAGAAATTCAATTATTTTGGTAAATAATCAAATTCTTCGCAGAAATTCTATTATTTTGGTAAATAATCAAATTCTTCGCAGAAATTTAATAATTTTCGTAAATTATTATAAAATTCTTCTTAGAAATTCAATTATTTTCGTAAATAATCAAATTTTTTACAGAAATTCAATTAATTTCAAAATTTTTAATAAAATTCTTCTAAAAAATAACAAAATTCTTCGCAGAAATTCAATTGTTTTCAAAAATTTTAATAAAATTCTAAGCAATAACTTTTAATAATTTTCATAAATAATAAAAATTTCATAGGAATTCGATTAATTACCAATTGTTTTTATAAATTTGTTAGCAATAATTCCATATTTTATTTTCGTAAATAATAAAATTCTTCTCAAAAATTCAATCATCCAATTATTTTTACAGAGATTCAATTATTTTGATAAATAATAAAATTTTTTGTTAGGAATTCAATTATTATCATAAATAATAAAACTCATCGCAGAATTTCAATTATTTATTATTTTCAAAATTATCAAATTATTATTATCAAATTCCTTGAGAAATGTAATTATTTTTGAAAATTTTATTCAAATTCTTCCCAAAATACAATTATTTTCAGGAATTTTAATAAAACTCATTGCAAAATTTAATTATTTTCAAAAGTAATAAAATTCATGGCAAAATTTAAATTTTCCAAAATTTTTCTTAATTTAATGATTTTTAATATCTGCACTATATTTTAGTAAACTCAAGAGATTTCAATTATTTAGAAGAAATGAGGCTCCGGATCAAAAAATTATTCTTTTCGTAAATAATAAAATTCTTCTGAGAAATTCAATTATTTTCGTAAATGATAAAATTCTTCTCAGAAATTCAATTATTTTCTTAAATAATCAAATTTTTCACGCAGAACTCCAATAATTTCAAAAATTTTAATAAAATTTTTCTCAGAAATTAAATTATTTTCGTAAATAATGAAATTCTTTGCAGAAATTCAATTATGTTCCAAAATTTAAAAATATTCTTGTCACAATTTCAATTACCTTTATAAATAACAAAAATTCTTCTTTCAAAATTCAATTATTTTTAAAAATTTTAATAAAATTCTTCTCAAAAATTAAATTATCTTCAAAAGTAATAAAATTCTTTGCAGAAATTCAATTATGTTGAAAAATTTTAAAATATTCTTGTCCAAATTATTCGATTATCTTTATAAATAATAAAAATTCTTGTCCGAAATTCAATTATTTTCTAAAATTTTAATAAAATTTTATGCAAACGTTTAGTTATTTTCATAAATAATAACAATTTCATAGGAATTTAATTATTTACAAATTTTTTTATAAATTTCTTAGCAATAATTCCATTATTTTCATAAATAATATTTTTCACGGAGATTCAATTATTTCAATAAATAATAAAATTTTTGTTAGGAATTCAATTATTTCCATAAATATAATAAAACTAATCGAAGAATTTTAATTTTTTTTAACAATTTTAATCGAATTCTTCGAAAAATGCAATTATTTGAAAAAAATTTGTTAAAATTCTTTCCAAAAATTCCATTATTTTTAGGAATTTTAATAAAACTCATTAAATTTTCACATGAATAATATAATTGTATATTGAAAATCATTGAATTGTTGCAAAGAATTTGATCAAAAAATTTAATAATAATAAAAGAATTTCTTTGAATTTTTTTTAAATAATAAAGTTTCTTTAAATATTTTTTAAATATTTCAATTTTATCAACAATTTCTTATAAATTTTTTTAAATAATCGTGTTTGTTATTAATTGAAACTAAACATTTAATTATTGAATTTTATTAAAATTTTAGAAAATAGTTGAATTTTTTCGAAAAATATTATTAAAAATTTGTTAAAAATTAAATTCCGCTATTTTTTCAGTATTTGAAGCGAAAATTGACTGGGAACATTGCAAGAATGTTTAAAATTTCTTAAATTTATTTTAAATTTCGTGAACTTTTATGCAATCTCATGTCAACTTTTGCACAAAAAAATGAAAAACAGTGGACATTTAAAGAATTACGTCAAATTTTACGAGTTTTGTAACCAAAGATTCCAAAGGTGGCAGTCAAGACTCGATTCAATTATTTGAAACCATTTCAGTAGTAAAAGTCAGTTTCAGTAGAAGAAAACATTTTCCGATTTCTCTTAATGTAGTATTAGTAGTAAAAACAGTTTTAGTCAGACAATATTTTACAATCGTGTAATATTAGTAGTAAAAGACAGTATCAATCAGACATAACGCTTATACTTAAGAAACAATATCACAAATGAATATTTATTTTACAAATTTTACTAATTTCTACAATTAAGTAGTAAAAGTCAATTTTAGTCGGACTTTCTTCATTATTTCGAGGTATTGCAAAATAATTTTTTTATTATTATTATTATTATTGTTAGTATTATTATTATTTAGTAGTATTATTATTAGGAGTTTTCGTCGTATTAGCAGTTAAGAATAGTTACAATCATAGTTGAAAATTGAAATTGTATTCTTCTCGTAAGTTTGATGTTTACTAGTAGTAAAAACCAAGTTTAGTCAGACGAAATTTGTAGCATTTTTGCACTTAACGTAATTACTGTAGCAAAAGTTGTTTTTAGTCTGAAAAATGATGTCCGAAGTTGCAGCATTACACGGAAAAGTTTTCGGGCGAGCTGCGTTCTCCGCGCGTAGAGAAGGTTTCCTAAAAGAGAGAAGGCATATCGCCTTGTAAATGGGTGAGCTTCTTTCTCTACTGGGAACGTTGCTCACCCAGTGCTGGACGAGCTGCGCTGAAAGTCAGTGGTAGATACACGACTGGTAGAGCAGCTCGTCCAATGCTGGCCTGCTGCGTTATCTTTTTGCGACTACTGCTCCACCAAACGTGAAGTTGCGCAGCGTTACTAGAGCAAATAGAGTTGCTCGCCCAAAAACTTTTCCGTGTAGATGTCAGTTTTTATACTTTGATTTTAAGTAGTATATAGACAAGTTTGGTCAGACATTAAAATTTCTTGTAATAATAAATAAGTGATGCATAAAAGGCTCAGTCGGACAATCAAATCAGAAAGCCTTATGTTACTGGTAGTAAAAAAATTCCAGACCATTAAATTCTTGTTAAATTTGAGTACCAGTAGTAAAACCAAGTTTTAGTAAGACGACTGTTTTAACTTCTTTTAGATTTTAATGGTAGTCGTAATAATCGATTACAAACAGACAAAATTCTTAGGATTTAGTTTTCATTCTTAAATCTGCATTTGCTATATCAGTAGAAAAAATTCCTACTCTGACAAATATTTTGTTTGCATTAAATTTTATTTAAAAACACTTTTAAAAAACTGAATTTTCGAAAAGTTACAAATAATTGCATAAATTCAATTACATATATTTAAAAAGTTAAAAAAAATTCTCATCAAAACTTCAATTATCTTTATAAATAATAAAAATCTTCTCTGAAATTAAATTATTTTCAAAAATTTTAATAAAATTCTTGGAAAATTTCAAATATTTTAAAATATTTTCCTCAATTCAATGATTTTTAATAATAATTGAATTTTTCGAAAGAATTCAATTATTCAAATAAAAATTGGATAGAATTCTACGCAAAAGTTTAATTATATTAAAAATAATCAAATTCATCGCAGAAATTCAATTATTTAAAAAAAATTTTTTTAACTCTCGTCAAAACTTCAATTATCTTTATAAATAATAAAAATCTTCTCTAAAATTAAATTACTTTAAAAAATTTTGATAAAATTCTTGGTTAGATTTCAATTATTTTCAAAAAATTGAAATATAAAATTCTGTGCAAATATTTTATTATTTTCATAAATAATAAAAATTTCACAGGAATTATAATAAAATTCTTCTTAGATATTAAATTATTTTCGTAAATAAAAAATTCTTGGCAAAACTTCAATTATTTTCGTAAATAATATAATTCTTCTCAAAAATTCAATTATTTCCGTAAATAATCAAATTCTTGGCAAAATTTCAATTATTTCTAAATATTTTCCTCAATTCAATGTTTTTTAATAATAATTGAATTTTCCAAAAAAAAAATCCAAATATTTAAAAAAAATTTTGATAAAATTCTACGCAAACATTTAATTATTATCAAAAATATTAAAATTTCATAGGAATTCAATTATTTTCGTAAATAATAAAATTCTTTTTAGGAATTCAATTATTTTCATAAATAATAACATTTTTTACAAAGATTCAATTAATTTTAATACAATTTTAGTCAAATTCCTCGAAAAATGTAATTATTCTTAAAAATTTTATTAAAATCCTTCGAAAGAATTCAATTATTTTAAAATTTATTGATAAAATTCTTTATGAGGATTTAATTTTTAGAAACATTCAATTATTCAATAAATGATTTATTTTTGAATTTATATAATTGAATTCTAGCAGAATTTTCTAATAAAATTTCTTTTCTTTTTCTTTT